TACCTGTTGAGCAAGCAGGGTTCAGACTTAATCGCAGCTGCACAGATCAGATCCTATCCTTAACAACAAATATTGAAGCAAGTTTTCAAAGAAAGCAAAAAACATCCGTTGCTTTCATTGACGTATCAGCTGCATACGATACTGTCTGGAGACAAGGACTAATCTGCAAACTAATCCGTGATATCCCGTGTCAAAAGGTAACTAAACTCATTAATAACATGCTCACCGACAGACCTTTTCAAGTCACAATGGGCCAGTGTCCAAATAAAGCTCAGCAATGACTCCTACGGGATCTGTTTTGGTACCCTTACTGTTGAATTTATACATCGCGGACCTACCTGGGACAACTTAGCAGAAATTTGGCTACGCTGAAGATTGGGCCATTGCAGCAAGACATAATAATATGGATATCACTGAAACAATACTAGCGGATGACCTTACCATTATGGGAAAATACTTTCGCAAAAGGAGGCTATGGCACAATGCAACGAAATCCGAAGTATGTTGTTTCCATATGAATAATGCCCAAGCCAACAAAAAACTCTCCGTCTACTTCGAAAACAGACTGCTCACTCATAACTCAACACCAAAATATCAGGGAGTGACTGTGTACATGGGGGTCCTCAGCCTCCGTACTCAAATCATCCGCTCTCGGATTTATATACTCGGTGGCTGAATATGCTTCCCCGGTATGGCTCAATAGTAAAAACACGAAGATTATTGACACCCAATTAAACCAGACAGTGCAAATGATCTCAGGTACAATTAGACCTACACCAAACTATTGGCTTCCCATTCTGAGCCCCATTCCACCGCCGAAACTGCGAAAAAGTCATTCTCTTCTCAGAGGATATCGAAAAAGCAATCCACCAGAAGGCTAACCATCAACTACCCATCCACCATGATATGCTTGATATCAAAATAAACAGACTGCGCTCCAGATATCCTCCATTGCTAAGAACCAACTCCTAACATCAGGACATTTCAACCTGACCAACGCTTGGAGACGACAATGGGAGAGCGACTCACCACAGGAAGCACACCAAATGGCCTGTATCGACCAGAAACCGCCAGGCTTTGAACTGACCCGCAATACATGGACAACGCTAAACATGAATAATAACAAGCAGAGATAGATGTGCTGACAGCTTATATAGATGGGGAAACACCCTTACTCCTGTGTGTGACTGTGGTGCGCAACGACAAGCCTGTGCCCGTCCATCACATTGTTGAAGAATGTCCCCGAAGGCGATTCCCGGGAAATTTCGATGAGTTCCTCAATGCGACCGAAAATGTTTTACATTATATTAATAATGCATTAGATGTTAGTTAATTGGCAGTTATTGATTGATTTTTTAATTATGTGTCCTTATTGTATGCCATATGATAAATAAAATAGCTCATTCTCCATTCTTCCAGTATTTTATTGTGTTTTATAATTTTATTAATTAATGTTGCTAATTGTTCTGTAATTGCTGCTCCACAATATTTCAGTAATTCGTTTGGTATCCCTTCTTTACCTGTTGCTTTTCTGTTCTTCAGGGTTTTAAGTATTTTCCGAACGTCCTGTACATTTATTGTAAGTTCTCCATTTGTGGTAATTTCTGATGTTTCCGGTTCTACCGTCGTTTGTTCTTCCTTTACATAGAACTTTTTAAGTAATCAATCCACGTATCCTTTCCTATGTGTTTTGGTTCTATTAGTTCCTTTACCTCCGTTCTTTGACCTCTTATGAAGCGCCATATTTCCCTTTACAGACAGTAAAAACCATGTTCTACTTCTTGCAAAAAGCGTGCCCAGTGATCATTTTTTATTTTTTTTTTTACAAATGTATGTGTTTCTTTCCTTATTTTCTTTATGGTATGCCTCTTGTGTTTTAATTGACATGTATTTCAAGTAAGCTTTTTTTCTTTTCTTTACATTTTTCCTTCACTTCTGTACAAAACCATGGAGTTCTTGACTTTGGGAACGATTTATGTTTATTTATATTTTTTCATCAAGAACTTCCTTGGTCGAGGCTAAGATATTGGACTTAATTTTTGTCCAGCTTTTTTCGACTCCATGTGTTTCTGCTTTTTTTCGGTTATTCGTTTTTGTAATAGGTTGAAATGCATACTAACGCAACAAAATATCAGAATTACCAAAAGCTGAACTCATATTGGAGAAATATATGTGAAGGATCACCATCTTATGCCGAATATAAAAAGCAATGGAATCGTTTTTATATCAAAACTACATATTTAAGTACCATGAGTCTAGCTATAAACACAAATTGTTGAGATGCTGTTTTTTTATGCTTACGAAAACAAGTTAACAGCCGACATTTCGTGCAGTCGTCATCAAGACACAAATTGCTATAATGATCACCAATATTTGAAACGAGTAGACACTACGAGAAGATATCTATAAAGCAAATAGGGTGTTAAGAGCATTATTAAATCATATAAATACGTAGAGAACAAAATATAGAACTAAGAACTCATTACGCAACAATAAAATAATGCTTAGTTTCTTATTTATTAACATTTTAGACATAAATCTTGTTTATTAATATGAAAAAAAATTAAACTGTTTACAAGTATTTTATTTTTCACTAATATTTACTTAAAAATTTGTAACTTTCTCTCTGGCCCCTACCCCAGTACTTTTGGGAATGTGGAAACGTAGCAATAAAGAAAAAACGCAAATGATAAATATTTTATTAAGATTCTTCAGAAAGAATGCAAGTATGACGACTAATAGATATGTCTGAACAGTTAGCTGCTACTATTGGTATATTTGTCATTTTATTACAAAATTTTTGAGTCAGTCACACTGAGCAAGTTAACGGCTAGGAAACAAAACTAGATTATATATAACAGACAAATATACTATAACTTGCTCAACATTTAGATATTAACATTTAAGTCTCCGAAGAAAGATCCTATGATGGAAGTAATTTTCAGAATTGTTAAAATTGCGTGAAAATATATCTACCTAATTTTTTTTTAATAAATCATAGAATACTAAATGTATATTTACTTAATATTAAAAAATTTAATTTTGTCTATAAATAAGATTCCACATTAGAATTTGTTTAGGTATTCTTTCCTTTATCATTCATGGCCACACCAATTTAGTTGTTTAGTTTAAATGACATATATTGTATATTTTACTAGCATTAATACACATTCTCTCATTCCTAAACTCTTATGTCGAACTTTCTACAGGTCTTCTCCACGTCAACAGTCTTAAACTAGTTTTCATCTTTTTCTTTTAGTAGGAACCGAGAAGCTAAATATATTCATTACTATTCCTTCAAGGACACTATTATTTCTATTCTACATATTATTTTTATACTTTTCCTGGTTCTATACCTTATCTTTTAAGTTTTATTTTGTATCTATTATGAGATTTTATTTTTATTTCTTTCTAATAGTTCACGTAATATCTCCGCTTAGTTGCTTTGGTTATTATTGACCTATTTTTGAAGATGCTGATCTTAATTGTGAAGGCCCACCAGTACACAGAATAATTCCTTTCCATCTTCTGTCTGCGTGCAGTCAGCAAGTTTTATTTGGTATATTTTATCAGATTTTCTTTTTATCTCTTTCTAATAGTTCACGTAACACTTTGGCTTAGGCGTTTTGTTTATTATAGACCCATTCTCGAAGATGCTGGTCTTTTCGGCCCTGTTGATATTACTAATTTTGTGTATGTTCAATCATTTTAATATGCGATAGGTGCAATCAACAAGATTATATTAACCGGAATAAGAGGTTAGTGATTAAAAGAACACATTTATCATGTTGATCTGCAACTTTTCCTGTGATATTTCACGTTTTATCAAATACCTCTGTGAGAATAAACAAAAAAAGGTAAAATAATCTCTTTATTGGCATTTCAGATAACAGGAATTGTTTCCTTTACTGCTACCATCTGGCAGCCGAAACTTATAAAGAATTTATTTTTAATTGTTTAGTTCCCAATAAATATTGACATTAATACGTTAGATTAGGCAATGTTTTGTATGTTATTCTGTGTAATGTGTGTTATGTATTTACCCAATTTCTTTTCACGATTTTTATTGTTTAATAAAATTTGAAAGGGTGATGTGACTATTTTTACTGATTATTCACTCTGAAAATTCGTAACATACCAGTTGAAAAGTATCCTTTCACTATTGATGTACACAATCGTGAACATAAATTTAAAACTCAAAACAAATGAGGGGACATCCATTTATTAATCAAAATCTATTGCTCAATCTCGTACACTTCTTTCAACCTAATTTGAAACCACTAGCTCCATCTATGAACAATCTATTCAAATAGTCAGTATCATCTACAGGCGAAGTGGGTACCTCTAATTTTTTAATTTGCAAATTGTTGTTAAGTTTTTTTATGCTCTATATCTTCCTAAATGGTTATGAAATATTTTCTGATATAAGCTCATCGTTTTATGGTACTGTGTATTGTATAGTTGTACCTACTAAAAGATAGTTTGCAGTTATTTTTGTATACACCATAGTACTAAATTAGTATCTATATTCAGGGGAGTATTTTGGGTTTGAATCAGATCTCTCAATTTGTCCGTTATCAAACAAATGATCAAAATATTGTTGAAGAAGCAGAAAATGTGGAAAGCAGCATTGAAGACACAATCGCGCACACAAGATGTCAATAAGGAAGAAAATGAGTTTCTAGAAGATGAGATATAGGTGTAACGGTAGTAGCTAATGGTGACAAAATTGATGAAACCGACAAAATTGATGAAAGCAACTTTTCGTATAATAAGAACTTAATAATGAAATTCAATGGTTAAACACAAATTGTTCGACCATCAATGCAAAATCGGATATCTCGAGATGAACTACAGAAATTACGTAGACTACTAGATATTTTTCAAGATATATCGTGACAAATTAATACAATGAGATTATCGAAAAAACCAAATACATATGTTAAACAGTGTAATGATTTCAATTTTGTTCACACAAATGATCCTCATAAGTTTACACATCATAATGGAAGATCGGAATGGGAGGTTGAACCAGATATCCTAAAATATATTAAGATGGGACGTCCGAGGTGGATAGGACAAGTAATGATGATGGAACAAAATAACCCAGCTAGGAAAATGCGCATTGATAGACCCATTAGTCAGAGAAAAACAGGAAGAACCAAAACACTGTTCCTTGATCTTCTTCTTGTAGTGCCTATCCGTTTCGAATGTTGGCGACCATAATGGCAATCTGTATTTTTTAAACTGCGGCTCTGAAAAGATTTGTGGTTGTTGTGTTGAACCACATACGAAGATTTTTCAGCCAGGAAATACGCCTTCCTGATCCACGTTTTCCTTCTACTTTTTCTTGAAGTAATAATTGCAGCAACCAATATCTTTCGGTATTCCTCATGGTATTCAATTTTGGCTTTTTTTATTGTGTTTAACAACTCTTTTCCTTTTTCCATTCTTAATAAAACGTCTTGGTTAGTAACGGGGTCGGTATAGGATATCTTCAGGATTCTACAATAAAGACACATTTCGAAAGCCTCAATTTTCTTATAGGTAGCGTATGTGAGAGTCCACGACTCAACTCCGTACAACAGTATAGGAAAGATATAACATCGTAGTAACCTGATTTTTATGGGCATTGATAAATCATGACATTTGAATAGCTTAGTCATTTTTTTTTCTTGTTCCTTGATAATATTCCTTAATGAAAAATAGGAATATGGGAATATGTGCTTGGCGGAGGAAGGCGATGGATATGGATGACTGAAGAGAGAAATTCGTGAGGAGAATAGGACCTACGCAGGGTTGTTAAGCTAGAATACTGATGAATAGGAGGTCTGAGATTGTCTAGAATGTATTTATATCGGTGTGGTCTTACACGTATGAGCCATTTTTGTAGCAGTAGGCCTAATCGCATATTTCAGAATCTTAGCGACAGAAATTTTACTGGTTTATTTTACAGACTTCATCAACCAATATTTTTAAATGTGCCGAGCATTACGTAAGAAGTTTTGTGTCGACGAAATGATATGTTGAGATTCACGTTTACTGTTCCGAATTGCAAAAGACATTATTTCTCTAAAATGGTTGCCAATCTTCAATGAAGATGCTACCATAAGAACATGTGTCCAGTGTGCAAAGTAGAATGATAGCCGATTTTACCAAATATCAAGTAAAAAAAATCTTAAATCCAAACACCTTACACACAATTATACCTATTTTCATCATTGCATAATATAAAAGATTGTCAGACTACAACAGCTTTCTTCTTAGAGCAAACGGATTTTCCAAGAAACCCAGGCATTACACGGTGATCGTTAAAAACGATGACTTTATTCTGATCTAATGATTTGACAATAGAATAATCAATTTACGCGTGACATGAAGAAAAGCGAAAGAAAAAATTGACAGACTTTATTCTGATCTAATGCTTTGACAATAGTATGATCAATTTACGCATAACATGAGAAGAAAAGCGGACGAAAAAATTGACACAGTTGGGAGTTTTTGAAATCACTCTACCTACATCCAAAATTTAGAACACTTTAGTATCGATGCTCACATTAGTTTACTAATTATCAAAATGATACTCAGACAAGTCATTTATATTCCACAGAATCATTTATGCAGTTAATCAGGTTACAAGTAGTAGAAGGTTTTAATAGTGGCGTCGAAATGCTTATCTTTATCTTGGTTTCAAAATTTGACTATTGAAAAACCATTATATATTTACACTGATTAAATATGTTTATACTTTCTATATAAATGATTACACGCTTATTTAGGTAGGTCTTACATATTTTATACACCACTACTGTAAACCAAGATAAAGAAATGTATGCATCATAGTCCAGTGCGTTAAACTTCAAACTCCAAAAATCAGACTTTGCTGAATATTTTTAAAGAAAGATATTTCTTTGGAGACTATTATGAGATTAGCAAACTTCTAAACTTTTTTAAATATGTAAAAAACAATGATGATATGTGTACTGTTTGTATTACACCAGTTTCCAGAATACCACAAAATGCGATTAAACGTAATTTAGGTTAACACAAATCTAATATAATAGTGAAAGCATCAATATAATAGGAACTACTTTATTATTTGTTATAAGAATTTATAAACAATCTTTTCATTTCATTTTGTAAAGTATCTGAAATTAAACTGTGAATGCGATACGAACAATACAAATTTACTATTAACATCGTTTGCCTAGTAACAGTTTCCATATTCCTTATTCGATTTTTCACCCAGACAGCTGCCCCTGATAACACAGTCAGCCCCAAACATTCTTCTTGTAATATAACTTAAAATCATATTGTACTCTGTTCCACTTGTCTTCAGCAGTTTTCCTAAAATTGGCCGTTATTTATGTACTTATACCAAGAACTTGAACAATAAGAGTTCTACGAAATAGTAAGCGACACCTTGTTTTATCCATTTTAGTCCTGTTAAATTAGCTATAATTTAAATCAGTAACAAAATTTTGTGTATATTCTAATCCTTTTAATGTTCCAAATGTGTTTTTCTTGTTGGATAATAAATTTTGGTGACAAAAAGGTTATCAATTGCTACAATAATAACGTTAATAATTTAGTTTTTTTTTTTAAGTATTCTTGTTATAAAAAAAAACAAAATCAAAAGTGTAATGACACAAGTTCGATGTTATAGGATATCACTTTAAGCGAATATATATTTTCCCCGAAAAAAAGAATAATTTCGTTTAACGGTTAGAACCAGCTAACTATTCTTAGTATGTACCTTCCCCATATTCAAGTTGTTCTTATTTTCTTGTCAGAGTCCATATTTCGAATGCATAGGTTATCTCAGTTATAATAAATGTTAGGAATATGTTTATTGTTAGGAATATTTATAAGTAAAATCTTGCAAAAGAAAAGGGAGGGAACAGGTAACGCTCATTTAATACCTGGCGTAGGGTTACCAGGTCTATTGATTTTTCAGTAGATCTAATGATTTCAACTTCAATGTACTGGTCTACTGAAACACTATATAAATCTACTACAAAATCTGTAATGATAAAATCATGTTCAAAAAGTGATCATTATATCAGTGGTTAATTATAAATTTTGGAAAAAATCCATTTATTGGCTCTTAATGTCTTCACGTTACCGCTTCGTTAAGTAAATACCTCTTCTAAGTCTTATAATGTCCAGTTAGTACATCGATTGTTTACATATATGCTATAACTTGGCAAATCTTTGTGAGAATTATGCCTTCCCTATTTACAGTAACTTCTTAATAACTTTCTCTTAATAACTTGTAATAAAGTAAGACTGAAGAGTATCTTGGTGATCGCAATGTGCATTAGTCTTTTAATATATTTACTTACAATTTTTGTAGTCCTTGCCATTACAAATATTTGGTCGGTGAAAGGCCTCTCGTTTTGAATCGCGACACATATGACATATAAAATAAGTTTAAGTCAAATTTGGTTTTCGTACTGGGATCTCGTACTCTAATGGCTCTCCTTTTTGTCTAAAAATTTGTAATCCTGCTACTTTACTCTACTTGAAGTTCATCAGACAGCTTTAGGTCGAAAACAAAAGAAATGTCTACGCTACAGTGGGAAATATAGGTATAGGTATGAATCCCGCATTTTTGTCTTCGACCCATCACTATGCGATGAGCGCTAATATGATAAATGTGTATAAATGTGATACAATTTGAAGATTGTTTTGGTGAGCACAGCTCCCTGCATAGTCTTTTAATGTAATTGTGATTAATCTTGTATGATTGAGTACTATAATTTTAGCAGTCTAATTACGAAAGCATGCGCCAATCTTTCCGTGCTTTGTACAGTTTATTTCTGAGTATGAAGTCATACGCTTCTCTGAAATCTCCAAAGAGGATATTTAAGTATGTATCTTGTTCATAGAATTTTTTTAGTACTCGCCATTACAAATACTTGGCCTGTAGTGAACTTCCCGTTTGTCAGTGCTGCCATAGTGGCCATTCCCTTATGCTATCGAGTTGAACACACATATTCCATACAAATTCAAGTTTAAGTCAAATTTGGTTTTAACAGCATAATAAATGTTCAGAATCATTTAATTTAACAAGTTATTTTATGAGAAATTCGCTGCTACCAAGGAGTATAAAATGTGAATAGACTAACTTGAATGGATGTATGAGAAATATAAAGTTAAAAGATATAAATCAATTTTTAGAAGACCACACACTGGTCTCACACATGTGAAAGGCTTATGGTGAATATCAGACAGTTGAAGATAAATTTTGGTAGAGCGACTATTTTAACATTTATTGAAAGATCCCGATTTGAATCAGTCGATGCAACAAAACTGTTGTATACATTCATCAATGAAAAATTTTCATTTGCTATTAAGCTCTGCAAGACTCCCACGAATAAGATACCAATAACGTTGGCCATGAATTATCACTATTGGATTCTAATTGTTTAACGTTAGAGAAGCATTAAAGTGTACCAAATACATAAGAGATCGCATAGTTGCAAAAGTAATATGTATTTTAATATTTTACAAACTTTCATTGTATGTTGATAATTACAAACCCTGATCTCAGAATAAATTCGTATTTAACTTCTTCTGTTAATACTTAACTTTCATCCGTATATGCGGTTTGTCGTTTACAGAAATAGTGCTTACTTCTAAATCGTGGTTCGTTTTGAATAACAAGAGTAGATTTATTATTTGATTACACGACTTCATGTATATCAATATCCCATTTTCAGTTCTCTTGTAAATAAAGATTGATAGATGGTAGATATAGCAACAACTTCACAAATAGTAAAGCGCACTGAATTTTCCCCAGACCAAAGGTCCCTCTACCTCTCCTACAACTATAGTACCAATATAATAACTATAAGTACATTCTTATAGCTTGTAAGAGTTGATTAAGTACATTAAAACTGACTAGTAGCAGCGAAGTGGTCCATCCAGGGACGGGGCTATGATTGCTGTCTTTAGGATCTAAACCTGATTCAGTCTTAAGCGGACTGTCCATATGTTTACTATTTATGGCTCGTCTAGAGCATGATACAACTACAATTGAACGTAAGAAAGGTTCCTGTTTCAGTTGAATGAGTGGTCTCCTGTTCTTGTCCCGAAGAGCAGCAGCGAATATTCAGATCCTTTGCGAGATCTAGATAGTGGCAAAATTCCTAGAAGCTCCGTCCTCACCTGTTCAATGCATACATTAAAAAAAATTACTGACAACTGCTGAACTTGTATATGATTGCTTTATTTATTACTTTAACTAATAAGAAAAAAGCCTGTCAGAAGATGAGGAAACAGTTGGTTTGTGAATCGAAGATATCAATATTGGTTGGATTTATAAACTAAAAAAGAGTTCCTAATTGAGCTAAAGAGAAACAAATTTACTAAGTCGAGTACTGTTCATGTTCATCTACCGCGCAAAGATTGAGACATTTGATTAACAATGTATTATGATATAAAGAGACGAGGCATTAAAACCATAATCCGATATTTTCATCAGATATTTGATTAATTCACAAATGGAATACATGTTTCGACAAAAAAGATCAAATTTCATTTTTGGACAAAACCGAACAATTTTAGAAATACAAATTCACCGATTTAAAAATTCTATGAGCTTGCTAGAGTACATGTCACTGCCGGGGAACACTGAAATCATAAGCGTTCATAGATTACTTGGACTGAATTTATCAATGTTTTCGATGATTTAAATACATACGACCACAACAATACCAGGAAGACCCATAAAAGCCAATCGAAAAACGACTACAATGATAACAAGAAAGTGTAGAAGATTACCTCTATACAAACTAACTTAGATGACTAGACCACAGCACACCTGAACGTCAACTATAACAAATTAATTTATGGAAGACAAGAAAATATTTTTTTACACTCTCAGAGCTTAAGGAACGGGCATATGAATATGAAAATGTATTAGAAAAAAAGAGCTGTCGATGACCAAATCACAATTATGGAAATTATATTAAAAAACTTCAGTATCATTCCATAATAGAAATAAACATTGTGATTCACTCGTTTAGGTGCTATAATAACTTTAGTCAGAGTTAAAGCTATAACCTACTGACGCAAAGCGTCACGCCTGACATCTTGCTTGTGACAATTACTACAGGTTAAAGCTTGCGCGCGATAACGTGATCTTACCGCAATAGTGGGCGCAGCACGTTTTAACCTTTAGTAATTATTGTCGTACGCGACACTTTGCATCTGTGGGTTAGACCTTAATTGATATTCTAGTTTACTGTTTTCCAATATTTCTTTCTGGTAATAACTCTACATCCCAAATTGGACCTCGGTTCTCATGTAATCTCTGTCTCCAACATTGATGGTTACCCGTCATTCACTTCCTAGTTCCGAAGCCGATCAGATTTTAGGCCTCCGTCACTTCACTCTTCCATCTTTTTCGTGGCCTGCCTTTTGGTCTTTTACCGCACGTCTTATCGTATAGACAATATATCATCATACATCCTCACTACTTGATCAACTTATCGAGATATGGAAGTCTAGCAAATTCTGATATAGATGATATACATATGGCAAACAGTTAGTAAACTTCGCGATTGCGTGAGATTTAAATATATATCTATAAATAAATTTACAGAACCCAGCCAGCAAATCAGCGATTTGTGATATCTCAAGCTAACCAGAAATACAATTAAACCAGAGAAATTAGCAAAAAAGCCTTTTTCGTGATACTCTTTAAATCAGGTATCTAAAAACTGCTTTCGATAAATGTGGTGATAACAATATGTAAAAAACAAAATATACAAAAGATTAAATGTAATTTTTTAGCTACAAACAATATACATTTATACAATGTAAGATCGCTATTTGATTTTATATATAAAAGGTCAAGATCAGTAAATTATATGGAAAACTGGCAAAATTTTCTTGAACAAGCATAGGAAATCCTTTAAAATGATAAGTTATTTTGTTAATTTATTGCTCAATTATTGCAAAAATAGCTTCAAAAGTAATTTTTTTGAAAATTATTAATAACTTTATTAAAAATGTACAAAAAATTTTAATTTTTCATAAAAATGGGAACAATATCACAATTATTCAGTTATAAAATTTTAAAGAAGTTTCACGTAATAGTTATTGCAAAATTGAAATTGTTTTTCCAAGGAAGATTTTATTTAATGTTATTTATTATGCGTAAACAATTGGGCGTAAACAAATATATGTTATACAAGTTACCGTGATTTCATAACCTGTTCTGCTAATTTTGAACACTACATATTTATTTTAAATTGTTTAAACAGATTACTGTTACACTAAACAATTCGCGAATTAAATAATTGAATCTATGCAACGAGGTACACTAAATTAAAAAAAAAAAAACATTAATTTTCGTTTATTAGAAATAAGAGATATTCCGACTTTTATAAATTTGAATTATGAATTCAGTTTTTGAAATAGTAAAATCGAGAAATAAAAAAGAATTAACTTGGGTTCTAAGGGACGTACGACATTGTATGTTTTTTTTTTCATGTAAAAATGTCAACAATTCAAATAAAAAAAAAACCTATTTGTTGATGCCTCCGAGTTATTTTAAATGTTTATAAGTCTAAAATCGCAGTAATTTTGTACAACATATTTAACAATACTTAACATAAAATTTTTACTCGTCATTTAATTTGATAATAAGCCTATTCCTTTAATTTGGGTTTTTCATAATTCATGTAAACCTAATAGTTTACGCATAACGTAGATAAAAACCTTCAGTCATAAACAATTTCAATTTCGCAATACCTATTATGTGAAACTTTTATAACTGAATAATAAATTGTAATATTGTCCTTATTTTCACACAAAATTGTGAAGTTTTTTGTGCCAAGTTATTAATAATTTTCAAAAAAAATCTACTTTTGAAGATATTTTTGCAATAATTAGACAACATATTAACAAAAATTTAACTTTACTTTCAATTTTCTATGCTTTTCAGTAAAATTGTGTCACTCTTCCATATAATTTACCGGTTTTCACATTTATTATTTAAAATCAACTAGCGATCTTACATTGGTTATATATTGTTATCACACAATTTATCAAAAGCAGTTTAGGACAATTGTAACAAAGAGTGTCTTGAAAAAATTTTTCTAATTCGAGTCCAAATTTATAAACACTATTATACAATTGGGTACAATAATTATCAATTCCCAATTGCCAATTATAAAATTGTTGTTATATATAACAATGTGTCTTTCACATTGTTATGGACCAAAATTTGAAATAACTGTTATTCAGCAAGTTAATTAGAGAAAAAGTTACAATCAACGAAGGTTGACAATGGTGGAACTGCAAACCGTGCGAGAGTATGAAGGTTAACAGACTTTTGCCAGATTACGTTTGGTATTAAATATGCCAGTAGTCTAAATAAAAAAGTTGTAGTATAAAGCGTAAAGTGTCACACAAAACATATAAAAGCGTTAAATGGCATTAAGTTACATTTTCCGATTGTTGTTTCGCAGAACAGAGTACAAGCTGTAGGCCACGAACACAAGAAAGCAGCATCAAAATTTCAAAATGAAAACAAAAATTGATAAAACAGAGATATAATGGAATGTACAAATTATTTATTTTCAACATAATTTTGCTGTTCCCTTCTTACAACAGAACCAATCTACATTATAATATAATACTCTACAACAATGGGACAGAATGTCTGCCTCTTTCGATGGACTGTATCCATCGAAAACCGGCAGACACTTGCCCAACAAGCTTCGTGCTGAGATGATGATTCATGACTAAAATAAAAAGGAAATACTACAGGGTTGACTTGAAAAGAGAAAACTTACTAACCTTGTAACACAAAACAGCCAATTCATTGTTTACTTGAATAGTGATAAACTCTTAGACTACTTAGTAAATTACCTATTTTAGATAGCATGGTATTTATATGATGACTTTACTTGTAATTTGCAAGCGTTTTCCAATATCTGGAACACCAGGTTAAAGTATTTTGTGTGTTACAGGATATATCAGACATAGTATTCTCATTCTTGTTAACCCTGTATAACATTCTTATCTGCTAAAGTCAAAAAGCATCACCGTCTATTAAATAGAAGTTTCGTCAGTGTTGAAAACGGGGATGTTTTTTGCCAAAGCAGTGACTACACTTTAGGCTAACACGTACAACTATGGACATCAAAAAAACCATCAATACACTTAAGTTGTCATATTTACAACAATGCTGATATAACAAAACCGTTTTATATTATTTTTGGAAGGTAATGGAACATAGATTATTTTGAAATCATAGTTTTGAACGAAAAAACGATAAGCAAAACTGATGACGATGGGAACAAATAAAAATTGACTATTAAAAAATGTACATAGGGTTTACGAATGTTATTTAGACAGTACATTGTTAGGTAAATAAATTAAGAGGAAATTATTTAGAAATGACGGTTTTGCGATGTAATGTCCCATTTACCAATGTTTTTTTATTAAAAAAAGATGATGCATTGAAAAAAATACCACAGTTTTACTGGCTTAAAACTTGCTATTCAAAAAAATTGTCAAAAATAACATTCCCGAACCATTTGTTTTATAAGAGACCAAGCCTTCATAAGGCCATGAATAATGATATATCGAGTATAACACACTAATGATAAAACAAATGTACAGTATTTTTGTGAAATTAAAAATAAATTGTGCTACTTTTTTAACTTTATTCAAATACTTCCTAGGCTCAATAGAGTCTAGCTTTTATATTAAAAGAAAAACGGTAACCTAAAATCTACTAACTATACAATTAATTTAATAATAGTGGTGACCCGCCATGAAAATGAAATAGAGGCTTCTAAGTATGTTTAAAATTATTTACAATGATAGCACAAGTATTGTAACGTACGAGGCAAAATAAATCAAATAATTTGTTTTCCCTCTTCCCTTGTATATTATAGTAACTAAGACCTTTATTTTGCCTAGGAAGAAAATTCGTTTTAATACAAAAACCTGTCAAGAAAACTCGACCGGTTCAATGAATATGGAAATAAGGAATTATTAGTCGTGTGTGTGAACACAGCAGCGATGAAGAGGCCCAGTCTTTTTTACTAAAATTATTAATTTGTTTTGCCCCGTACGCGAAAAATACGGGCCCCATCATAACTAAATTATTTACATTGCCCGCCTCAGTCACTTTCATCGCCTGCTACCATTTATACAGTTTTTATTTTTACATGTAGACATTAAAAACAAAATGATCGGGGCGAGATGCGCAACTTTTGGTACGCTGTGTTTAGGAGATGAAAATTTAGGGGAGCTGGGCGCTTAAGCTCTAGTATAGAGGTAAATGGCGACGATGAGACCATAAAGACCTAATACTTCAGCGAAAATGAGGATCAAGATCATTCCTACGAAGAGTCTTGGCTGTTGTGCGGTACCTCTTACACCAGCGTCACCTACGATACCAATAGCGAACCCTGCCGCCAATCCAGAAAATCCTACTGAAAGACCAGCACCCAAATGGACAAAACCACTGAAAAAAAAAAATAAAAATTATAAAATCATTTCAAATCTTAAATAAAAAATCAAAAATATAATAATCTTTTAGCTTTTATTTTTAGGAATATAATGTAGTATCAAATTAAGCTTAATATGGTTTTATGTTAATGCATTAACCCCCTCCCCCAATTAAAATTTGATACAAAAGTGTCATTTAATATTATTGTCATTAATCATAGAAGTCTTAGTTTTAAGATTAGATATATAACGTATTATATCATATATGTTATGTTTCCTGTTGCTCCCACTGTATTTTAAATTAATGTAATTGTATATATTATGTTAATTTTAATATTTATTTAGGAAATATTTTATTTCTTTATTTTTGCAATTGAGGCGTTCAGAATCATAGTGGATTAAGTCCACTTTTTAAGAAAATTAAGTTAGCGGTGTATCTGTTTTACAAATAAAAAATCTTTTTGGTGCTATAACCTACCAAGTCCAAAGTTACCGAAATAATAAACAGATGGCGTTAGTTTACTGTCTTTGAAACAATGTGTCATATTATTTCGGGACAGAATGAATCAAGTCCAGTTGACTAGTCAGATTGTGCTCAGTGTATTTATCGTGATCGTTTATGATTAAAAATGAATTCAAATTACCACATTAGTAATTTATCTCCATCATCATCTGATAATTATATACAGAATCGAATTTGATACAGAATCGAATTTGATACAGAATCGAAATTACCAAATGTGATCAACTGTCCTTAAAAATAGTTACAGCAACTGAACCTGAAACATCCAATTCACTTATTGTTGAGCAAAATGTTCACCTAGCAAAAGCAAAACAACCTCAAGATGTACTAAAATTGTACAGTGATGAAGCATCAGATGAACAGTATGTTGCTACTTTTAACCTTCAAAAAGCACTGCCATACCCGAAATTGTCTACATCCATTGCACATTACAAAAGAAATATGTATGTCTATATCCTAGGAATTCATTCCTTCAACAAAAACAACGGTTTTATGTATGTGTGTGACAAAACAGGTGGTGGTAAAGGATCTCAGAAAATATCTTCAATATTGACCATGCATCTGAGAAAATATGCCAAAAATTATAACCACGTAAATTCAGATTCATATACAGGACAAAACATAAATTTTAAAGTGGTTGTCACGTTACTAAATCTTGTTCAAGATGCTTACATAAACATAACGATAGATCACAAGTTTCTTATATCTTGCCACTCCTTTTTGCCAAACGACCGACATTTTGGGGTTATTCAAAAGGCTGCCGGAAAATCTTCTCACATCTTTGAGCCAAACGACTGGATTGATGTAATACAAACTTGTACTTAACAGTGTCTTTTGAAGTAGCTACCATAAAAAAGAGCGACATTGTGTCAACAAATAATATAGGAGATGTGCTTGTAAATAGAAAAAAATATAGTGATGGAGCACCTGTGAAGTGGTTAGAAATGAAATGGATGATGTACGAGAGAGATCCTTGGGTATTGAAGTAAAAACATGTCTCAAAATTCATTGGTAATCAAAGTCAAATGTACTCCACACCTAGACTCGTGACAGAAGCAAAGAAAAAGGACATGTTGTCTCTCCTCTCATGTCTGCCATCAGTCACACACTATCATTTTAAAAATCTCTGCATCAACAACAACACAGGAACCCGATCACGAATCTAGCAACAGGGTGAAGAAGACGACGTAGACGATCATAAACTGGTCTATGATGATTAAAACTAATGACACTTACGCTGTGAGAGTATTATTGAACATTGTTGTAATAAGTTTTTTGTTTGTTATTATTTTTTGTAAATAAAATTCCAGTTTTGTCATAGATCGCTTTTTAATCCATTTTATCCACCAAATATTTCAGAGTAATAATAATGGATCAAGTCAAATGTTTTTCAAGAGTCTCCAATTATTTACAGAAAGGTTATTTTTTTAAATATTATACATAGTTTAATTATTTAAACTACATATTACATATCAGGTTTTCGCTTAGATTCGGTTCGTTGGTGTATTATGTAATAGTGGAGAGTTTATTAACTTTAAGTCTAAATATCTCTGACTTATGTATTATGGACATAATCCACTATGGTTCTGAACACCTCAATTATTAAAAGGAACTGAGTGTTCTGTTAATTATTGCATGTACAATTATTACTAGACTTACACTCAACTGCATTAAAAATGTACGCTTCTTGAAATTTTAACAAATTTTGATCTTAAATCATATCTATCTTTTACCTTGGACCATGGCTTCCATTCTCTGGCATTACACGAATTAACGTTCGAATATATTATTGGGGAATGTAACTGAGAATTACTATAACCGCCAAAAGGAGTTCGTGTTTGTTGGTATCTGGTCTTTCGCGACTTTTACACCTCTATCTGGATAAAGTAATCCAGAGATGGAAACTCCAAGGAAATAGGACAAGAGGGAGGCCCGATAAAAGTACAGGAAAATCTTAAAACCATGAACAGGCAGAGACGAAGGAAAGTATCCGGCAGAACAGAATGGAAGAACTTTCGAAGCAGGACAAGACTTTTATCCGGAAAGCATGATAAACCATTGAATTTCTTTATTCCAACTTCAATTAGGTATTATATTATACATATTATGTATAAACTGCTGTCAGTGCTACCATTAGTGATCCTCCTCCATGACTAACACGAGAGCTAAAAGTGTACTCCACAAATATTTCACCCGCTAGCCATCAACCGCGCTTTCTGTCAACTGGGCAATGCCCTCAAACCGATGATTAACCTGTACACAAAGTTTTGACACTGTATATTATTTCTATGAAGATGATGACGAGTAAATGCAGACCACCAGCCGATATGCAAACCTTTAACACAACTTCGTTTAGCCGGCGACGTACCATCCACTTATATTTGTGACCCGAACTTCGCGAATATTTTCGTCTGCGCTGATGTGGATTTCTTAGGTAGTTAAACCAATATTGATAATTTCCTTCCTCTTCCATAAGAGCTAAGTTTAGCACGGTCTTCGTTAATAAAAACCATTTTGAAAACGAATAAAAATGTTCTCAAACTTAAGTTATGACAATAAGATAACTGTCAAACATTAGATTCGGTAATTACAGGCAATTAGTCATAAGACCTTTATACCATACCTTGTTTTTTCCCATAACCGTTTAGTGATTGGTAGTTTTAGGATTTCTTCTGGTTCAATTCTCAGTTGTTGTCAGTTCTCTACAGTCAGATAATAAATTATAATATTATGTTCTGAGTAAAGTTCATCATTTTCCTTATTCGTCTCTTTTCAATTATGGTTTTGTTACTGCCTTTCAATTACTTTTGTTTCTATGCAAACCTGGTGAGACGACGGACAATAATATTCCTACTTCCAGGTATTTTTTATCACTAATACTCCGTAAACAAACATCAAGTCGGTCTTACGAAAGATAATCTGTCCAATATGTAGGTACTCCAATTCATTGCGTGTGTTGCTAAGGTATAACGTTATTCATTCAACCTCATATAAACAGAACGAACTAGGTATATATAAAACTTTCATAATGCTGTAGACAAATAAATTAATACAGTCATAATAAAGAGAGTTGAATCTTTATATCACAAACAGATAATTTAACAATTACTTTATTAAACAATCGAAATTATCAAACTGCGTAAGTGAATTCATTATAGGCAACAATTTTTATAGTAACAATTCCAAAATCATATTTGCATAAATCTTTATTACATTGCTTAAATTTTATGTGAATGCAAATAATACGATCGCTGTAAAAATTTATATGCTTTTCTGAACATTAAAGTTTAAGTGGAATATATTTGAATGAATAATCTATATTTAACTAGCAGGTATTAAAACAAAGTAAAAAATTAAAATACCAATTTTAAAATAGTAAAAGTATGTTCATATATTTTCTCAACGTATAAAAAATATTGTTGGGTATAATAGGCTTCCTATTCATAAAGATCACAAATTCACACTCCTTAACGTGTCGTCTTCTTTCAAATGTTATCTGGTTTGAAATCGCATGATTGTTTGTATTTTGTTTCTGCTGCTATAAACAGTTGGTTAGAAGAATAATTAAGCCACTATCTCAGATTGCTGAGCCATGACATTAATATTTCTCGAACACGTTTCTTTGTGTAAAGTCTTTTCCTAATTACTTGAAAATATTTGCATTTTGATCGTGAATTTTTATAAAGTAACTGCGATTATTATTTGGTTTCATGATGAAGATAAGAAAGTTGGTCTTATCCAAGTTAATTATTTAAGCTATAATGTTAGTTTGTCTAGGAATTTTATTAATTCAACAGATACATATGAATATTTAACAATTGGATTAAATTAAAATTTTGAATTGAGTTTCTTATCCTGGAATTTTAAGGATTTCGGATTTCCCATCCTTTTTTTGTAGAGGCCACAAACATTGAAATTGGAGATTTCTCGAACTGTGATATAATTTAGTTACTAATATATTTCGATTTAGAACATATACAAATGCAATTAGTTCCTTATCATATACTGAGAATAATGCATAACATTTTAAGGAAGAGTAAGCTTTTACTTGAAACAATCTCAGTGGGGAGAAACGTTTATGCTTATTTGAAAGTGATGATCCAGAGCTTCATAGTGTTCCAATGAGAATACGGCAAGTGATTTGGAAGATAAATATAATTTGACAGAAGTGTCGTAAAATGTAACAATTTTGTGGGTTTAGAAGCTTGAAATCCGAGAAAGTTTGTGTAAAATATATAAATGTTATGTATTTATTATCGATCCAGTTTTGGACTGCTTTGGAATACAGTAATTTTAATATTATCATTTCTTTTTGTATAGGTATAGTTTTTGATTTTGTGAGAATCGGACACACATTATTCGGCACCAAAAAAGGATGCACTTAACTCAGTTATCTAGGCCGCATTAGGGCAGGTACAGTAGGAACATTCAGGTGGTAGCTGTTTTGTTATGAGATGCTGGTGAGTTAACGCTGTATGTCCAATTCTTAAATA